AAACTGAAACTGTTTCTTACAACTAAATACATTTAAAACACTAACATGGTTAGTTATACCAACTTTAACAAATAGATTTAGTATATCCACATTAATCACTGTTCAATACTATAAACAAACAATTATGATCTTTTTATTCTCTTTATCGTGGAAAACTTTCCATTCGTTTTTTTTTTCAAATTGACTCTTCGCCAAAGTCTAATAAGAGCAACGCCACATTTTCTAATTATTCTCCAAGTAAAAATCTTCAGTTCAGCGTCTTTTTCAAAGTGGGTAGGTATGTTAGTGTAGTGTTAATGTACTTAAATTCTGTCAATATTTTAGTTTAAAAAATACAAATGCAATAGTCTTTATTTCTAATTCTTTTCATTACATAACATTGGTACTACCATTGTGTTTACCTAAAAATTTCTTGGCGACAACATTAATTGTGTTTACCTAAAAATAATAATATCCGGCTAAAATTGTACGACTATATTTCAGTACTAAACACACGGTGTAGGCGATGGACACATGAAACATAGTTAATCTTAAATTAATAGAGTTAGACCACATTTTAAAGCGTTTTGTATTTAATGGTTTATATTAAATGTTTACTTAAACGATTACAAAATGGAAACGAAACTGAAGAATATAAACAGAGTATTTTCATTGCAAGCAATAGCAAACTTGTCAAGGTTGACAATCGTGTTTTGCTATTCCGCTGTTAAATCTGGGTGCTTTCCCTTATTTTACCCCATGTTCGACTCCAGTGCAAGCTAACTTATTGTGTCATTCTCTGACTCTTGTAGGCCTATGTCGTATCATGGTCACTTCCGTAGTACTTCCGTTGTTCTCGAGTTGTTGTTTTTACTTTCTCGTATATACGAAGTATAGAGAAAGTATTGTAATCGTGCACAAAAATCACTTGAAATTTTAAAAATTTTCACCGTATTACACCTCAGTCCTTCATTACATCCGAAGTATAGAGGACTTATTTTAATCGGGCAAAAATTATCAATCCAGATTTATCAAAATTAAGAGGTTTTATGCGTAATCCAGTCTGAAAAGCTGGGCTTTGCAATTCTGTCCGTATGTCTGTGTGTCTGTGTGTCTGTCTGTCTGTCTGTGTGTGTGTAAACACGATAACTTGAGTACCGTTACAGCTAAATTGATGAAATTTCATATATAAGTATTTTATCAAAATCGTAGATCCGTATCAACTTTTGAGCGATTTCCGATAACCGAAAGTGGTACTTTTCCTACTTTGAATTTTTCAAAAGCCTATAACTTGAGTACTATTTCAGATATATAAATGAAATTTCACATGTAAGTAAAAGATCTAATTTTCTACCTTCTATTTAATTTTGAGTAATTTCCGTTGACCGGAAGTATTAATTTACGCTACTTCCGATTTCTCAAAAACTAATGTAAATTTATAAAGTACTAATAATATTGCGCACTTTTATGCACTTTTTTATTTGGCGTTCACTTGATGTGCAATTCTTTTGTCTACGAGATTTTATTCTATTTTAAAACTTTAAGTATTTAAAATGGATTAAAAATCATGTCTATAGCCCGATTTCCCATCCCCTGTTCTCCAACTTCCGTCAAATTTTGAGTAATTTCCGTTGAAAGGAAATACTAGTTTACGCTATTTCCAATTTCTTAGAAAACGCATGTAAATTTATAAAGTACTAAATAATATTGCGCACTATAATGCACATTTTTTTTTTGGCGTTCGCTCGGTGAGCAATTCTTTTTTCTATGAGATTCTATTCTATTTTTAACAGTTTAAGTCATTAAAAAAAATCATGTCTATATTCCGAGTTATATAAGAATATTCGAGAAAGTTTAGAGGAGATCACTCCCGGTTTATTCTGTTTATAAACATATTTGAGAATCATATTAATGTAGAATACTTTGCTGTCGTCTATCTGCACATGTTGCATTGCGTCGTCATATTATTTTTGAGTATCTCGTCGGCAGATGATTTTTTTTTAAAACCAACATTTTTTGTCTATGTAAATATATATTTTTATTACACATATTGAAAGGAAACACTAATTCAAAAAAGTCATATAAAAAACATCTAGTTAATTTTATACAACAGTTCAAATTTATGATATCCAAAAACAATTATAGAATTATTTCCTTCTTAAATCGTGTAAGACAAAAGACATTATCTGCTCAAGCAATTTAAAATTTAAAGCTCTTGTGAATAGATATTTGAGATTTCTTTTTAGTTCACGAAATCCAATGATTTAATTTTGTATTATTTCGGAAAGTCTGGAGTAAAATAACACAACACCGATGTTAATGAAAAAGACAAAACTAGTACTTGAAAATTCAAGTATATATGCATATTTGTATGTGTCGATTTCATCTAGAAAATGGGTTTGAATATAAAATTTTACATAACCTAATTTGTATTTTTTTTATTGAATGTTCTATGCGTACCCACTTTACCCAATTTACCCACACTACCAACTTCTAGTTGTACTTATCCACAAGATGTGCTATCTGTGACAGGCGTATGTTATAAACGAAAACTTTTAATTCAATATCGTCTCTTGCAGTTAGTTAATCAACTGTATCATAGTGTATACGTTAATAAAAGATAAAAATTGATGTGCACTCCTGTTTTGTAGGCCTACCTGATTACACATTATACATTTATTGCGCTGTGTTTAGTAAATAAATTAATTAAGCAGTGCATGAAAAATGTGTGTTTTTCCAAAATATTACATTACGATAAATACAACCAAATGTACAAGTAAGGACAATTGATATTACATAACTATAACAATTTTGAAAAGGTAAGTATTTTATAATCAACATATGTCAAGTACGTAGTATAACACTTGAGAAAATAGCCAGAATGGCTGATAATGTCTTTACATGATGCATTTATTCTTATGTCAAATTCAAATGTAAAAACAAACTTGGGCCTTAAAACACTTCAACGTTAATCTTAAGAGGAAACATTGGTGCATTATTGCATCTAAAGCATACCAAAATTTAATTTGTTGGAAAACTAGAGTAGCAAATTTTTCACAATAATTGTTTATTTTAGTGGATTTGATTTTCTTCTGCTAGTGTGAATTGACAGTTATATCTCGTTTTCTATATTTACATTTGTATCCAATACATGGCTTCACGTGTATCAAAACACGAAATTTATGTTAAAATTATAACTATGTCAAATTAATATATGCTAATCTTTTAACAAAAGTCTATATATTAGCATACATTTGTATTGTGTTTAGCGACAATCTATGATTTTTTGTTCTGTCTATTCATCTCACCGACGATTGTCGTAAACACTAGTTGTAGACCTGTAACAAGCTTAGTTAAAGTACATCAAGTATAAACATCAAGTTTGGTTAAAGAATATAACTTATAAAACATCGAGAGTAGTTAAAAAACATAAAACTCGCATCTCGAAACAAAGCTATATGCACATTAAGATGAAAATAAACCAAACTTCAATCAATTATATCACGAAACTGCAATGAAATTAATCGATAATAAATATCACATCAACGTACATCAAAAGCAGAAAACTATTTCAAATTTTAAAATTTTGGACTTGTAAAAATCATATTTTGATGGATTAAAAAGTAGTGTAAAACGTTCATTAACTAAACTTAATATTCGATTGTATTCATTAATTAGTAATATAATAATAAACAGCTATAAAATGTGTTGTTTATTTGTTAATTTATCTGATGGCGTCTAACAGTTCACAAATCAAAACTAAACTAGACAGGGCTGTGTAACAAAAAAAGGTTGTCTTTTACAAAGAACGTGTGCCAAGCACGCTGATGCGGTCTCATAACAAAGGATTTCATTGCACTCCTTTTGATAGCATTAAATTTATTGTTATCAAGGATGTATTTTGAGATAAGTTAACTCATTTTTTGTCGATATCTATCGCTGTCGATGCTTTAAAAACAGGTGCATATTGCAAAAAAGTGTAGGTTAATTACCTTTAGGACGGGCGACGTAGAACACCCCTTGTTAACTGTCCAGGTGTAAGGAGGGTTGCGGGATCTTGAGGGAGCCACCAGTCGAACTAACGCTGTAGACACGGGTACCGCCCTGTTTCGTTTTAGTAATAGATAATAATAGCCTACTAAACTCATCATCTTGGTCGCTTTTTAATGGGGAGCCCTACGTACAATTGATCACATGACCACGTTCACGGTGGATACGCTGGTATCTATACTGGGCGAATAATCTAATGACGCCAGCGTTGGTGACGAACCAACTGACCTCAGTTAGGTAGACGCGGGGAAACTCGTGTCACCCAACAGCACACTGACTATTGGCACGTTTACCAGCTAGACAAAAGAAGACAAATACAATTTAATTAGAAGCATTATACATCGACCCCTGTATCAAACCACCCCCTATCTCATCCTCCAACCAAAGAAAATGTATTGAGCTATTAAGTCGCAGTTTCTAAAAACCACACAATTTTATAGACATAGGGAAATAGCCAAGTTAATTTTTGTTTGCAAAATAATTTAAGTTGGCCAGTCCCCTTTTATTATTTAAAAGTAATGATATTCCTTATAATTATTGTGTGGCTCTTGGGACTCTTGGGAGCCTTTGTGGAACGAAGTTTATATTTTTTTCGCGGAAATATTTCTAAGTGTATTCTGTGAAAAGTTATTGGGCAATCGGTGAAAACTGTAGAAATGTACAAAACGCAAACAAACACACCCACAGACAGACACACAAACATACTTTTATTGTTATATACATGTATATAGAATGCACGACAACAAAAATAATACACCTTTTAAAAACGAGAAATTACGTTATTTTTTTTCTTTCAGTTAAAATAATGTTAGACCTATAATTATAATAGAGATGAAATAAATATTACAAAGCTGTAAATTGCCTTTATATAGGCTACATCATATAAACAGCATACTGTATGCATCAAATGAAGATTGAAACTTGCAACGATGTTAAACTCATCTAAATTTCATTTCACTGAATGTTGGATTTTACAGGGCATTCCAGTGTAAATTGTTTGTACCCCAAACAGCGTAAAGATAAGAGTTAGCGCAATCGTTAAACCACCAAGCTCCTATAAGTTGAGCTGCACAGTTACCACTATACATGTCATTATCGCGGTCATATGAAGAAAACATCATACCATTGTGGTAGTATAGACCGTCCTCAGTATTTCCCGTGTAGCCACTAACATGTAGCCTGTAGCCGTCTGTCTCGCTAGAAATGTTGAAGCTGGAATACTTGGCAAAATATTTTGTTCCACTGAAGACCATATCCACTCTGAGTTCTGTTTGACGGTTTGACGTTAAGAAATAAATGTTCTCATTGCCCAGGTAAAAATTACCTGAACTAAAATCCCCAAACCCATTTTTGTATTCCGCCCAACTCCTATTAAAATCTACAGTCCCAGAAACACGTCTTTGGAAAATGGTCCATCCTCCACCGTCTGTCACTGTGTCACACATGACCTGAAGTCCAGAGGTTAGGGTCACCAAAGGTCGGGGGTCACTGCTGTTTACTCCTAAGCATGGATCAAGCTTGCCTGTTGAAAATTAAGCTATTTATTTGATTGTACGAAAAAAAGACACAGGAAAAATAAACCAGGAGTGATCTCCCCTAAACTTTCTCGAATATTCTTATATAACTCGGAATATAGACATGATTTTTAATTACTTAAACTTTTAAAAATAGAATAGAATCTCATAGAAAAAAGAATTGCGCACCAAGCGAACGCCAAAGCAAAATGTGCATAACAGTGTGCAATATTATTAGTACATTATAAATTTACATGCATACGGAAAAAGCGTAAATTACTACTTCTGGTCAACGGAAAGTACTCAAATTTTAACAGAAGGTAGAGAATTACATATTTTACTTACTTGTGAAATGTCAATTATCTGTCGGAAATAGTACTCAAGTTATAGGCTTTTGAAAAATTCAAAGTAGAAAAAGTAACCCTTCCGGTTATCGAAAATCACTCAAAAGTTTGTACGGATCTACCATTTTGATAAAATAATTATATATCAAATTTCATTAACCTAGCTGTAACGGTACTCAAGTTATCGTTTTTAAACACTGACACACACAGACAAACAGACATACGGATAAGATTGCAAAATTATGTTTGTCAGTAGCAGTGAGGTGTAAAACGTCGAGATTTGTAAAAATCTCGTTTTTTTTTTTTGCACGATTACAAGAATTTCTCTATACTTCGTTTATACGAGAAAGTAAAAAAACACAGAAAAATAAACCGGGAGTGATCTCCCCTAAACTTTCTCGAATATTCTTATATAACTCGGAATATAGACATGATTTTTTTAATGACTTAAACTGTTAAAAATAGAATAGAATCTCATAGAAAAAAAGAATTGCTCACCAAGCGAACGCCAAAAATAAATGTGCATTATAGTGCGCAATATTATTTAGTACTTTATAAATTTACATGCGTTTTTTGAGAAATTGGAAATAGCAAAAACTAGTATTTCCTTTCAACGGAAATTACTCAAAATTTGACGGAAGTTGGAGAATTAGATCTTTTACTTACCTGTGAAATGTCAGTTATCTATCTGAAATAGTACTCAAGTTATAGACTTTTAAAAAATTCAAAGTAGAAAAAGTACTACTTTCTGTTATCGGAAATCGCTCAAAAGTTTATACGGATCTACGATTTTGATAAAATACTTATATATGAAATTTCATCAACCTAGATGTAACAGTGCTCAAGTTATCGTGTTTACACACAGACAGACACACACACACAGACAGACAGACACACTGACATACGGACAAGATTGCAAAATATTTTTCTCCGTATCAGTGAGGTGTAAAACGGCGAGATTCGTTAAAATTTCGATTTTTTTTGCACGATTACAAGACTTTCTCTATACTTCGTATATACGAGAAAGTAAAAAACAGAATAAAAGTCACAGGAAAAAAATTCACAGGAACAAGTCACAGGAAAAAAAAGTCTCAAATGTATATTTGCATGGAATTAATTGATACGTTTATGTTTTCAATGTTCAGAAAGTGCAAATCAACTTAGTTTAATCAAATATAATAGGTTGTATACATATAGTGAAATTTATAACACACGTAAATACACACGTAAATACAAGGTATTCCAAAGCACATCAACATTTGCAGACATTATACGGTAAGTTACTTTTACTTCACCTGTACAAATCAGAAAGTCGCTTTTAGTAATGGAGCCATCAGACAGGACCGTGATGTTTCTGGTTGTGTTACAGAACTTCCCACTTGAGAACAATTTTCCCTGAACATTGTGATGTGAAGCTTTTAGTGGGACTAGCCAAGAGCCTTATAAATCAAAGAAACGTTGTCTGTGGGTATATTATCATGTAGACAAGTATTAGCATATCTTTCATGAAATCTGAACTCAAGTTTTGTGTTTACCATTTATAAATGTCTAATATTTGATATTTGGTAGAGGTGATATTTAGCAAGCGTTAAACATTTAATTAACGAGGTAACACGTTAGATAGGACATGTGTGGAGAGTATGTTGGAGGTGTTTGACTCTTTGTTTGAACAATTACAAGCTGTGTAATGTTACGATGTATTATTTACTGTTGTTCACGTTTGTTAGATCACGATCAAATTCTTAATCAATGTCTCGAACTGTTGAATGTTTACGAATTCTAAGCACTACAAAAAGCAAAGCAAACTTGAATCAAGAAACATTTATGCTTGTACCAAATAATTTTCTTTTTATATGAATTTAAAAGCTTAATATTGTAGATATAAGCATGATTAAACAAGTTTGTCTAGAAGCATAATCGCCGATTAACCTACATGATGCATGCGTTGGGATAGGTGAGGGATGGTGGGTTTATAAAGTTTTTTTGGGTTGTCTTGAAAGGTTGGCATATTTACAATACAAAGTTTAGAAACTTGTAAGATACAAATTGTGGTTGACCAGTGGGTGAGGGTAATTAATATATGGTCATGCGCTTCTCCATATCTTGAATATAACTGTATAACTAGTACATTAACTTCATGTTATATATTTATGATAACAAACGATTTGCAGAAAATAGTCACTCACACACTATTTTATTCTTAACACACATTACACAGTGAGTGATATAGACCAGTCAGATGTTTAGGCCTTTGTCTTAATGAATAAATTTATAGCTATTGCATCACAGTCGTATACTAGAAATATAGGCGAAACAAAATATTTCAACTAGCGTACACACACAAATTTTTTTCATTCAAAAGTATGATTGTCATTTCAAAACAAAAACATATTAACTTACCCAAGCTACAATGTCTTGTGGTTTTGTTGTAGATGTAGCTGTAGCACGTTTTGTTGGAACTTTAACAACGTGAGGCGCAGGACAAAAGGCTGACTTGGTCAAACTCTACATTGATGGAAAGTGTGATCACGTTGGTGTCATCAACAGCTTTATACTGGATTTGTTTTATTGAGTTGTTTGAATGGACTTAGGGCAACAAAAAATAATTATCAAATTAAACTTTCCTTTTTAGTTATTGTGATGACAGTTGTTAACGTCAGATAGATCAAGTAGAAGTTAGCAGAAGCAGAGTATAACTTATTTAGATGGACCAATGAAAACACAGGAGCCCCGGTCACGTGGGACGGTCAGCTGACCACTGAAGCGTGGGTCTGAGGAGTTGATAGGTAGCGATCGAGAACCGTCATGGATAGGTAGCGCTAGGGTAAAGATGTAAAAGTTAGAATGCAGATAGTGTAAGGGATGGTCATGGGGACGTGTAGAAGGGGCAGCCCAAAACTGAGTCCGATGGAGCTGTGTGGTTGCAACCCTTTGCTCCCCAGGGGCCACAAAGGAATGATGATGATGATGATATATATATATATATATATATATATATATATATATATATATATATATATATATATATATATATATATGTATATATATATATATATATATATATATATATATATATATATATATATATATATATATATATATATATATGTATATATATATATATATATATATATATATATATATATATATATATATATATATATATATATATATATATATACTAGGCATATTGCCTAGCTTCGCTTAGGTTTTCAAAAACATTTGATAATTTGAATACTAATTAGGTCTATTTGGTGATGGATGAAGTGTGGAGTGCTTAAATTTAAACAATAATGCTAATTTTAAAGAAGATGTTGTATGTCGTTTAACATCCGCTTTCAAAGAAAATACTTGAAAGTACACAATTTATAACTAAAATGGAATTAGAAATACAGAGGTTCCATGAACAGTATATCTCATAATTTATTGACTTTTAAAATTAATTTTTTATTTCATTATGATGCGTTGCTTAATTAACAACTTATTTTTTTGTAAAACAAATGCTATACTTTGTCGTTTTCTGTTTCTGTTTAAAATAGTATACAATTATTATTTTAAAATAATTATTTAAAAAGGTTACCTCCCTTGAAAGTGGACCAAATGACGTATGTCTGTTTACTTTTTTTTTAAACAGTTAATATGCTTATATAAGAAAATACGATATATGAACCTATTTAACGATTACAATGGCATTTTTCGACGGGAATAACGTCTTTTTTGTTACCCTCCAGGGTCGGTCTACGACCTCAAATAATATTAAGGGGATCGTTCGTCAATTTATTTATATACATCTCATATAAGGAGAATTTCACTCGCAGTCATATTTTAGCCCTGGTCGAGGGCTTTGAGTCTGACCAACGGTTTTTCCATACGGCCTAGTCATCTATAGAAGTGTATGCAAAACATTAGCATGATATATAGAGGTTAAGTAACCTAAAACTTGTGTTGAAAATTGCCTGTTTTCCCCATAAAATACAAAGATTATATAGGGAAATACGACTGGTCAGTTTTGACCCTTTTACGTAGTTTTCCCAGATATGCCGAGTTTTTTGTGACACCCCAAGGCGTTCTCCTACCACCTCCCAAAATTTCAAGGGGGGTCGTCGGAGGCAATTATGTTCCGTAATAGAGCTCATATAAAGAGAATTTCACTCGCGGTCACTTTTTAGCCCTCTTCGAGGGCTTTGAGTCAAACCGACAGTTTTACCTAAAGGTCAAGCCATTTACCTAAGTGTATGCAAAACATTAGCCAGATATATTGAGTTTAAGTACCCTAAAGTCTGCGTTGAAATGACCCTCTGTTTTTCCCATAAAATACAAAGAATATATAGGGAAATACAACTGGTCAATTTTGACCCCTTTACGAAGTTTTCCCAGATATGCCGAGTTTTTGTGACACCCCTAGGAGTTCTTCTACCACCTCACAAAATTTCAAGGGGGGGTCGTCGGAGGAAATTTTTTTTCGTAATAGAGCTCATATAAAGAGAATTTCACTCGCGGTCACTTTTTAGCCCTCGTCGAAGGCTTTGAGTAAAACCGACAGGTCTGTCCTACGGCCAAGCCATTTACCCATAAGCATGCCAAAAATTAGCCAGATGTAAGGAGGGTAAGTGCCCTAAAATCCGTTTTCAAATTACCCTCTATTTTTCCCATAAAATACAAAGATTATATAGGGAAATACAACTGGTCAGTTTTGACCCTTTTACGAAGTTTTCCCAGATATGCCGAGTTTTTTGTGACACCCCAAGGCGTTCTCCTACCACCTCACAAAATTTCAAGGGGGGGGTCGTCGGAGGACATTTTTTTTCGTAATATAGCCCATATAAGGCGCCGGTTAGTCGAGGTCAGTTTTGACCCCCTCTCTTTGGAATTTTCGGCAAACCGTCACCATCGCCCCAAGGCACCATCGTGCCAAATTTGACGCGCCTGTTTGAGCTTAAAAGCAGTAAAGGTATTTAAAATAGAATATTGACAACAGTATATGCAAGTGTGTAACCTAGAGACACGTAGACCAAAAGAAACCAACGAAATATTTGCACCGTGTAAACAAAATGGCTAGCATTGAAGTGGAAAATATTGAAAAGTTTACTTGAGGCTTTATGTCGATTAAATATTTTCCAGTTAGGAGTGTAGGGTTTAGTCACGTTTGTTTGATTTACATAGCGCACAGTGTAATAAGTAAAGTATTTTAATGTTGCAATAAAAGATACAGACATGAGCAGGGGACAGAGTAGAGCCACGGGACAGAGTAGAGCCATGTGACAGAGTAGAGCCACGGGACAGAGTAGAGCCACGGGACAGAGTAGAGCCACGGGACAGAGTAGAGCCACGTAATAGAGTAGAGTCACGGGACAGAGTAGAGCAAAGGGACAGAGTAGAGCCAAAGGACAGAGTAGAACCACGGGACAGAGTAGAGCCACGGGACAGAGTAGAGCCACGGGACAGAGTAAAGCCAAGGAACAGAGTAGAGCCACGGGACAGAGTAAAGCCACGGGACAGAGTAGAGCCACGGGACAGAGTCACGGGACAGAGTAGAGCCACGGGACAGAGCCACGGGACAGAGTAGAGCCACGGGACAGAGTAGAGCCACGGGACAGAGCCACGGGACAGAGTAGAGCCACGGGACAGAGTAGAGCCACAGGACAGAGTAGAGCCACGGGACAGAGTAGAGCCAAAGGACAGAGTAGAACCACGGGACAGAGTAGAGCCCTGGGACAGAGTAAAACCACGGGACAGAGTAGAGCCACGGGACAGAGTAGAGCCACGGGACAGAGTAGAGCCACGGGACAGAGTAGAGCCACGGGACAGAGTAAAACCACGGGACAGAGTAGAGCCACGGGACAGAGTAGAGCCAAAGGACAGAGTAGAGCCACGGGACAGAGTAGAGCCACGGGACAGAGCCACGGGACAGAGTAGAGCCACGGGACAGAGTAGAGCCACGAGACAGAGTAGAGCCAAGGGACAGAGTAGAGCCACGGGACAGAGCCACGGGACAGAGTAGAGCCACGGGACAGAGTAGAGCCACGGGACAGAGTAGAGCCATGGGACAGAGTAGAGCCATGGGACAGAGTAGAGCCACGTGATAGAGTAGAGCCATGGGACAGAGCCACGGGACAGAGTAGAGCCACGGGACAGAGTAGAGCCACGGGACAGAGTAGAGCCACGGGACAGAGTAGAGCCACTGGACAGAGTAGAGCCATGGGACAGAGCCACGGGACAGAGTAGAGCCACGGGACAGATTAGAGCCACGGGACAGAGTAACGTGTCACTGTTTCCTCTGTTTACTAGTTTGATCCCTCCCTTATTGACATATTAAACACACCACGTATATACCTATTTATTATGCCTTAGAGACGTACCTTTTTATTTCTTGTTCTAATTTCTCTTGATTTTTAACAATCGAGGCCAAGTGAAAACCAACATATGCACCACTAAAAACAAAGTGTATTCTACATGTTTCAAACAAAATAACATTTTAATATTTTCTTTCAAGTAAATAGAAGCTACTCTATGTAGTTTACAATTCATACTCAAATATTCCTTCACGAATTAGACAATGACTGCTTTATCTTTGTCTTTAAGCCTACAGTTTTGTGTTTGTTGTAAGTATTCAGTTAAAGGTAAAATAAATATGTACACGAACCGTTTACGTGCGTGGGTCGAGTTGTTGTCCACAGGTTTTACACTGTTTATTAAGTTGGTTATTCTTTATTGAGTTTAATTAACTCATTCGTTTAATCAATGTAAACAAGGAAAATGTATCTTGTTGTGGCAACCGGTTAGGACTTGTTTTATAGTCAACAATTATAATATATATTTATTTGTTGTGCATAGTGACCTTTTTGCTAATGTTTTAAAAGTTAGGATATACTATATGGAGTAAGCTGTCTGAAGCTTTTGCTCTGAGACAATGCAACTTATCTGAAGCTATGAGACAGTGTTACTTATCTGAAGCTATGAGACATTGTAACTTATATTAAGCTCAAGCTATAAGAAAATGTTACGTATCTGAAGTTAACAGACAGTTCAACTTATGATAGGATGTGTCAACTTTTTCTATTGAAAGGAGTCGCCCACCGTATCCAAGTGTTGGGAACCAAAGAGAAAAGTGAATCATAGTGCACTCAAAAAATAAAAAAATCAAACAAACGTGTGTTATGTAAAAGAAGCAATGGTTGCTTTTAAAATCCCTTTTATTTGTATGCGGCTAAAGTTTTTATTAAAGAAAGCTAATGTGTTTAATCTTTTGATCTTCGGTTCATTTAAAAACTGTTTGTCATAACGTTTTTTTATATGTTTTATTTCTATTTTTAAACATTACACCGCATATATTTTTCCAAACTAATTCTCGGGGCACCTTATTAACCTATTTCTATCCGACACTTAAAGTTTATTTTGTGGTGTTTAAAAGTCTTGGTCTAAAATAGGACGGTATACGTTTGACGAAAAACACATAATTTAGGGTAATATAACGTTCAGCAACAATACTATGGTCTAGATTTAAAAAACCCACTGCAATAATGTTTCCATTTGTATTTTTAGAATTCAAAAAGACGTTTACAGTTGAGTGCACTTGATCAAACGCCAAAAGAAAGTGTCACGTGTTTCTTTAAAAAACCAACTGTTTGACGTCCTAGATTTGCTGGGTTTCCCTTAATGGTGTGTATGTGTGTTGTTAGTCTAGTCTACAGTATAGAAAGGTACACGAAGTTACTGGGGAATTGAATGAGGAAGTTATTGACGCGATAGTGGCGTGTGTAAAAACTTGTACAAACCGTGGACACCAGTGGAGTCTACAGTCTTTTTGTCACTAAACAAGACGATAGACTTTTTTTATACAGTCGAAGGTAGGAATAGCTGTATAACAGCACATTAAACAATGTGAACACTAACTATGAACAACAAGATGTGATCAACGAAGCGATTCAAACACGTATTTAAATCATCGACAACATTTTAATAAGGTTTGTGCACAGTTTAAGTCATTTTAATTTAGGTTTATTGAACAAACGTTTATTTTCGTTAAATTATTGTCATCTATTTCTTTGTTCATTTACTTGAAAAACATAATAAATTAGGTAGGAAGTATTTTGAACATCTCAAAAATATATGTCCAATGAGTCATCTTATATATGTATAATGAATCGAAGAGTATATAAGACATCTTAATTATATTAGAACTTTTAAATTATCTTACTATATGTCTTAGATTTTGGGAGTTTTTTTGCATTCCATTGTGTGATTGAAGCCAATGGTAGTATTTTTATTTAACTTTATCAACACTTAACAATGAAGAAATCTATTTCAAACATATCCTCTTTTAGATTACAGTACCTTTGTAATTCTAGATGATTTAGAAAGTATGGCAAGTGAGGATTGATTATCTAAATATTTCACAGGTAATTCCAATGTATTTATTTTATGTAAAATATTATTCATATAAAACAACACAAATTAAATATTGTTGTCAATAAGCCAGCTTAAATTATTCGCTGATTATAAAATATTTTGTTTTTAATATTTTATTGCGTAGATATCATATGTACAGTAATGATGATAGAAAAGGTTGTAATACATAAAGTTATAGAGTTTACATTCTTATTTTACTTGATTAAAGTTTAACGGCAAATGCAATCTTTATAATCATACAACTGTTTTTCTTTACCTGTACAGGTACACTTGAATTACAAGAATGTTTTGAGGGTCAAGGTGAGATAAATCTTTACAAACACTTGGTAATTTGCAACAAAAATCCTGGCCATAAAAAATTAATACCCGTAAATAAGTTAACTGTTGAGCATTTTCCTTCTGGTTACCATGACAACGACCTGTATGACCTAACACAAGCCCTAGCTGCCCTAACCGTCAGGATAGCCGTTAAGTTCACCAGTCCAGACAGACCAGAGTTTGTACCAGGCACTAAAGATCCATATCCTTGCTACAACACCAGGGGACAGAACTCACTGATGACAGGGACTGGGATAATGTGGTTGGTGGAAAAGTACATAGAGGGAACGAGGGGCTACAGGAAATGTCCATGTCCTGAATGTGACCACTCGGACACACCCAGCAAAGTGTGGTGGAAAGTTTGTATGTTGACAGCCAGACATGTGGTATTTGATACGAGTGAGGCGAGGCAGTCCAGCTGTAGGTTGTGGTTTGATGGTGATAAAAGTCCAGTCGTCAACATTTATGGATATGAGGTGGGTTTGTCATACACCGTTGGAGACACTTGTTTGTTGTATTGTGTGACACATGACGTAGATGTAGCTGATAAAATTGGAGAGATGGTTGAGCGGTTTGATGGTCTACGAGAGAAGGTAAGGGACAAATACAAGAGACTTTGAGGTGTGGACAAGCTGACCATTATAGTGTCACATCCTCATGGCTGTTCTAAGCAGGTCTCTATAGGTCACTGGGTACACAGACATAATGTGAAGTTAGGAGAGACCAGGTACACCTACACAACATGTACCTGCCCAGGTAGCAGTGGAGCTCTGGTCTACAGACTTTTGACTGGTCTTATCACCTCCACGTTGGAACAAATTCTAACCCTAACTCCGGCGTATTAAATTTTAGTGGGGTGCAATGGGACGAGGATTAGCTGTTAGTTTTTTTAAATGTAAACTAACATAGCGTTAAAATATTTTTTAAACTATTATTGAACAGCTTATCTTAAGCTTTCCAATATTCGACGGTACAATTTTACTTAGTACATTTTATTTTAGAATTTGAATGTTGTGCAAACGGACAGCAAAACTACACATAGTGTTGTTTATTTATACTTTTTATGTTAGATTAACAGTGCGAGAAAGACATTTACTTTGTAAACATTTTTTTGTAAATAAAAATAAACATATGGTATAGTGAACATTTTTTCCCCTTCTTTTTGTTTGTGTAAATGAAATATTAATTTCTGTTGTTTCCCTTGAAATGCTAATCAAACAAACAGAAAATAATTAGAAATATATTTTTTAATTTTAAAAGTACAGTATTTTTTTTATTAAGAAAGAGAAAAAAGTTATACTGATCGATGTGCTTATATATGAATATTACAGCAACACACATATGTACTATCTTTAGCAAGTGAAATTTATTAAATATAAAGCAAACTGTATAATTGGTGATTATCTATAAAGAGTAATATTAGCTTTGAAATATCTCCATCGCTTGTACATTGATTTAAAAAACAATTATGTTATGTAACAGCCTTAAAAGGTATTAAGCCATTTCCTTTTTTAATTTTTAATTTTAATATTTTTAATTTTAAACAAAATTTATGTTCAAATCCACTTTAAAATCCTTTCCCACATATATTCGTAATGTAATAAAAGAAATTCTACAAACATTTCATACATAACGTGTAAACACTTTTATGATTTAAAATGTCTCTTATTTTATTTTCTTATATTTTTTTAAACGGCCATCTATACGGTCTTTACCGGCTTAAGCTATTGCTAGATACCAGACACACTAAAATATGGTTGAGAATAACGAATTTCTCTCACCCACTTTACAAGTAGCTAGACACGTTGGTTTCCTTCGATATTTTGTTTTCTTCCCCATGTAATTCACCACCAAGGTTGGGACATGTGAGAAAGTTCGTCTGGTGACGACCTAGTGCATCGAGCCAAGCATCTGTGTAAACAGCCGGATTACACCATTGCTTACCGTATTTCAACTAACTAATTCCATTGACTTAAATACATTAAGATAAGTGCGCCCAGTACGCAAACCCCAGGCAGTAAGTGAAGACTGATGTTGCCATATTCCACACTTCTCGATACATGAAACATTGTTGTCAAAAAAATAATAGCAATTATAAGACAATGAAATCATTAACTATAATATTTTCTGTAAGTAGAATTGGGTTAGTGGACATAAATAATCTATACTTAGTTGACTTTGCGTTATGTATAGTTATAATTAATCGGGAACATGCAATATTTTTAACCTTTCAAATAAAAGTGGGAAATCCCGATATGACCTGTTTTCTTCTACAAATGGAATATTTTAAAAACGAAACTAAAAGCCTAGTGGAGAGCTGTCAACATTACAGTAATCGCTTTAAAAAGGTAAGTCTTCCCATCTTGATCTGTTTTTATAATATGATGACACTACGCTGTTGACAAAACTGGCTGTTTATATTCATAATAAACTATTTATAGACAATGTTATTGAAGTGTTGATTTACTTTTTATATTAAGTATACTCTATCGTTAACTATTCCAGCTACTGTGTGTTGATATTTGACGTTCATCACTGAGTTTTTTATAAAGTATTATTTATTTAAAATATTATTCACTGTTTAATATCATTAATAAGACAACATGTCAAGTAAAATAAAAATATGAAAATATTAATATATCTACATTCTAAACATAATTAAGCAACACAATATAGACTAAACTGTTATCAATTAGACGTACCACTTAGTTATCAATTTTCTGAAACTTTAGATGAGACCAACTTATCAGTTACAAACTATAACAACAATTCTGAAAATTCTAGAACATCAAAGTAATGTGTTAACTCCAGTGTAAAAGAACACCGATGATATAAGTTGCAAACCCTAAATTAATTTTTAAAAATACATACATTAAGTTTATACCATCATGTTTTACATGTTTGATTGAATGTGTTGATATGTATTCGTAGTGTAACTAGAACTTTGAAGAAGATATACTTACAGAATTAGTTAGTGTATTGGTGTCACTGATTTCTACAGGTTATAAACGAATGCAAGTGTTGGCTAACAGATGCAGATAAAGGAACAAAATTTTTTATAGACATCATGCAGGCATTCGAAAAAAACAAATGTTTCTTCATTGAGCAGTTGTTCTTCTATAGTAGGTATATATTGATATTTACTTTATAATTAATAAAAAATAAGATATTTTAAAAAAAATCAAATTTATTATAAAATATTAAATACTAGTTACTGATTATTTTGTTTAAATGTTTGTGAACAGCTGAAAAAGAAAGAAAAATTCATTGAATTTCAATAATATGTCATTTAAGTTTGTCTCTGAACCTATAGCAGAAAATCAATGGGACACAACCAATAGTCCAGGATCAGCTTAATATCTCTCTAGTGCTTTACCATCAGACAGTCACAACACAGGTTCAGTTAAATCACAGCAATTAAATAATTAGCACGTATATTTTTTTTCGTTATTTTTTTACAGCTAATGAAATAGTTACAGTAATATAGTGTTTTGTTTACCTGTACAGGTACACATGAAGTACAAAAATGTCTTGAAGGTATAGGTGTGATGGATCTACACTCACACCTGGCAAACTGCAAGAAAAATCCTGGTCATAAACACTTTATACCTACAAATCAGTTACGTGTTGAACATTTCCCTTCCAATTACCGTGAGACCACTTATCTAACCTCAAAAAAGCCCTGGCTGACCTAACTGTCAGGATAGCCGTTAAGTTGACCAGTCCAGACAGACCAGAGTTTGTACCAGGCACTAAAGATCCATATCCTTGCTACAACACCAGGGGACAGAACTCACTGAGGACAGGGACTGGAATAGTATGGGATGTGAGAAAGTACACAGAAGGAGAAGATGGGAGAACTTGTCAATGTCCTGATTGTTTCAAGTCTGCCACACCCAGATAAGTGTTGTGGAAAGTTGGTGTGCAGACAGCCACACATGTGGTTATGGATGAGAGTGAAGCGAGACAGTCCACCTGTAGGTTGTGGTTTGATGAGGAAAACTGCCTAAGGTCAAGATTTAGGGGTGGAAAGTGGTTATGAAAGACACGTATGTGAGCTGTGGTGTGTCACGCACGACGAAGCTGTAGCTACTGAACTGAAGAAGAAGGTGCGGCGGTTTAATGAGTTGCATGATAAAGTTTGTGAAAAATACAAGAGCCGTAGAGATGTGGACAAGCTGACCATTATAGTGTCACATCCTCATGGCTGTTCTAAGCAGGTCTCTGTGGGTCAAAAGCTACACGGGCAGGTAGTGTGGGGTTATCAGACACGTTACACGTACACAACGTGTACCTGTCCTGGTAGCAGTGGGGCTCTGGTCTACAGACTGGGGTGTGGCTGGTCTAAACATCACCACAGAGGTGTTAACAATGATGGAGATGATTATAGCGAGGTGATGTTGGACTAAGACGTGTAGTTTCATGCACTGCTAGAGAATTTGAACAAACGTCGTTTTCTGTCTTTATAAAAATGTAAACACACATGGCCTCTGCTTTTAAAATATTTTTCAACATATTATTGTAGAGATTAATTAAGATTATCTTTATTAAATTTCATTTCTGTTTTATTTTAATTAATTTTGGTTTAAACTAGATCTAGATCCAGATCTACATTTTCTTCCTCAGCTAATCTGTATATCTAGATACATTTAAACTGTTAAACGTATTCTATTAAAAATTGATAATACGGTTGAAACCCAGTGAAAATAGAAAAAGACGTATAATTAAAGATATAGAAGACAGACAGAGAATGTAGCTTTTTAATGTGTTAATCATTTGAATGGACAACATGGTCTCCCATAAAAGCCGCCATATTTATTTGAAAATATGTAAATAAAGTATATGTTTATAATTTGTATAATTAAAATAGTGTTTCTACCAATTAATTTACTAACATATAAATTAACGTCTATAAATAATATTATGTTTAATGGTTTGGTAAAAAAAGAACATTATTCTCTACATAAATTTGTATTTTAAAAGTGCACACATAGTGCAGATACTCTCAGACAAGTAAAAAAATAAATATACAAACTTTCTCACTTTTAGTATTAAACTATCGGTCACGGAAAAGCCCTGCACTGCCCTCTGTGAAAGAAATATCTGTAAATTATCATGACGTCTGTGTTTATATAGCAGCATAATATAGCAACATTTACGTTTGACAAAAGAACACATAACACTAAACTCAATTCTAACTCTTACTATAAACTTAACACCAACACAACCTACCCAAACCAAAATACAAACCAAAAACAATGCAAACATAACATAAACACAAACACAAACGCAACCTAATACACAAACGCAAATACAATCCCACACACAAAAGTAAATACAAATGCAAATGCAAACATAACAAGCACTCAAATATAAACATTAACTCAAACACAAACGTAAACACCAAAGTAAACCTAAACACAAATTAAAACACAAACAAAAAAGCAAACACTGATGCAATTAAAAAAGCAAACACACACTGAAAAGGAAACACAAACGCAAACATAAACAATAGCACGACATAAATACAAATACAAATGCAAAAACGAACTGAAACACAATCATTCACACAAATACAAATGCAAATACAAACACAAACCTAAACGCAAACAATAACGCAGAACATTAACACAAATTTAAATGCAAATATAAACACATAGTTCTCTATTACAGCCCGTAGCGCCAAATCTCACCCTGCCGGTGCGCCGGCGGAAACTTCTGTCTTCTGTTATGCTACATATATATTTACTTTTTCAGTGTATTTTTCTAAAAATGTGTTGTAATGTGAGGGCTCTTAGTTTCCTATCAAGTCACAGAAAGCTTTCAATATAGTAGATCATACATGGTTAATAAAAACATTAGATGCTTACAATCTAGGACACTATTTTAAAACATGGATAAAAATAATATACAACAATGCACATAGTCATGCAGAATTTTTTTTCCTTTTAGTTTAAATAATAGAAAACAAGAACTATTTTTTTTTTAAACTTAATACTTAAAGATTTAACGCTGTTAAAAGTTTACATGATAGATTGAAATTCAAAATTTAAATTCCTAATGATGTTAAACTGCTCT